TAGAATAGAATAGAATAGAATAGAATAGAATAGAATAGAATAGAATAGAATAGAATAGAATAGAATAACAGAGTTGGAAGGGACCTTGGAGGTCTTCTAGTCCAACCCCCTGCTTAGGCAGGAAATCCTACACCACTTCAGACAAATGGTTAGCCAACATGTTTTCTAAAAAACTTCCAGTGTTTTGGAGCATTCACAACTTCTGGAGGCAAGTTGTTCCATTGTTCTAACTGTCAGGAAATTTCTCCTTATTTCTAAGTTGCTTCTCTCCTTGATTAATTTCCACCCATCGCTTCTTGTCCTGCCCTCAGGTGCTTTGCAGAATAGCTTGACCCCCTCTTCTTTGTGGGAACCCCTGAGATATTGGGACACTGCTATCATGTCTCCCCTAGTCCTTCTTTTCATTAAACTAGACATACCCAGTTTCCAGCAACTGTTCTTTGTATGTTTTAGCCTCCAGTCCCCTAATCATCTTTGTTGCTCTTCTCTGCACTCTGCAAATATGAAGAATCGTTGCAGGAACCGGGTATGGTTGGTCTAGAGAAAAGAAGGACTAGGGGTGACATGATAACAGTATTGTAATATTTGAGGGACTACCACAAAGAAGAGGGGGTCAACTTATTTTCCAAAGCACCAGAAACAATGGATGGAAAGTAATCAAGGAGAGAAACAACCTGGAATTAAGGAGAAACTTCCTAACAGTGAGGACAATTAACAATTATCCAGTGAATAATCGAAACGCTGTAGGTGCTTTTAAAGAAAGACTGGACATTCACTTGTCTGAAATAGTGATTGAACAGAGGGTTGGTCTAGAAAACCTCCAAGTTCCCTTCTAGCTCTATTGAGACTCATTAAAAAGTCTGACTTATAGAAATGGGGAAATTACATTCAAAATCCAAAATTGTATTGAATTGACATTCAGTCAAACATATGTCATTCAGTTTAATATATTGCATCCGTTCAGAGTGCCAAGAATCTGATTCAAATAAAACAGTTCAACTCAAAACTTCAAGTAGTCCTAATGTATGAAGCACAAGCTTTGATGACTGAATTAAATTTTAAGCAGAATAACCATTTCCGCTCTCAGAAGCCAAAAGCCAGAGATCAAGTTCTTATATTTATTTGCTTCTTCTTCTGTCATCCAATAACTGCTGAGATAAAGCTACTCGGAATGCACGTAGAGTAAGAATGTTACTCAATTTCTGGGTATTTAAAAGAACTTGGACAATGTGTGGGCAGCTGACCTTTTCATCAGCACACCGAATATTCCATAACCCTGAATGATATCCTTCAATGCTTTATTTCTCCCTAGCCCAAATGTCATCTTGTCTATTCCCCAAGCCATTTACGGTGTTGGGGAAAAAGGAGGGGAAGTGTTAAAGGATTGGTAACCTTTGAAAAATATTTAAGCTTTGCTAAGAGCTGCGACTTTTAGCTAAGACTATATGATCTTCTACAAATTCTAAATTTTCCTCCTTAGCCACTGATGAAAAGTGGAACAGAAATCTTTCCCCACAATTTAAGCTTTAGATCACTTTTAAATTAACAGAGCTGGAAGGGGCCTTGTAGGTCATCTAGTCCAACCCCTTGCCCGAGCAGGAGACTACACCATTTCTGACAGGTAGCAGTCCAATCTTTTCTTGAAAGCCCCCAGTGTTTGAGTGTGTTTCTCTCATTGGATAATATAGAAATGATCCCTGAAAGTATAGTCTGAGAGCAGAAACATTCTTTGAAGACATTCTTTCAAGTTTTGTATAGAAAATAACCTGTTTTTTTCCAAATTTCAAATTAATTAATTGATGTATTATACGATTATTTGTACAATGTAGAAGTCAAACCCAATTATTAACTTCATGCCGACAACTCTGTGTGCTATCCTCAGATCTTTCGACCATCCTGGGAATGGGTAGAACTCCCATTTTTAGTTTTCCAGGACGCTGAACTCTGGATGGCAACCACCTCAAGAATCTACAAGGATTGTTAGTTGACTTCATTTAAGAACCAGATTGATTCATGACAAAGCACTAGAAGATCTCAAATATTCTAATGCCTGCCCTTTTTTTTTTTTTTGGCTTGGCCTTCATTTTGTTGAGATGACTTGTCTGCCACTGAATCCTTCCTTTTTTCAACCCTCTCTCTGACCACTTTTCCTTTACTTACCTTTTCACTAGAATTGCAATGTTAACGTTCCCCCTTTTACTATTGTATACGGAGTCTCGTTCCTTCTTTTCAGAAATGTTTTGAGAAGCCACAGGTATAACAAGCTTCAGTTTATAATAATGTTTCATTGTAGGTCGATGCTCAAAGAATGAAAGGCGCGAAAGACTAGGTCCATACATGAAAGTCCAATTAAACTGATTTATTGATAAACCGTCTATGCCCAAGAAATATTCTCAACTAATGGCAAATACCTGTTTGGACTTAGATAAGAGTCAATGAAATTTAAGGGAGGTTGGGCTTAGTCTGTTTGTGGTTACAAAGGGATTCTAGGCTAATTCCTCTTTTAATTCCACTGCCACTCCTTCTCCTACATACTGTAGAAGCCATTACCAACTAATTTCTTGACATCTGTTTTTTGTCTCTCTTTTATATCTAGCAAGTGGATTCTCATCCCTTTTTCCACAGAACATCACTGGCTATTCTGTATGCAATATGTGTGTAATCTTTCTTCATCTTGGATGGTTATTATTGCATTGATGGATGAGGTCTGATGCAATTGAAAACTGTTTGTGATTCCTGATTTTGATTGTCTTACTGTGATGTGTTCAACCCCCTTCCTACATGATGCTTTACATAACAAATACGAATCTGAAAAATGAATCAACTGTCCAGTGACCTCATACTCTTTTGGAATTACCAAGGAACAATTATTAGCTCACCGTTAGTCATTTATTCATCATGAACCATGGTGGCACTTTCGTTGGACTGCAATATTGCAGTCTGACTCTGCTCACTTCCAGGAATTCGATCCTGACCAGCTGAAGGTTGACTCAGCCTTCCATCCTTCAGAAGTCAGTAAATTGAGAATCTGGGAGCAATATGCTGATTCTGTAAATTGCTTTAGAGGGGGCTGTAAAGCACCACGAAGCAATATATAGGTCTAAATGCTGCTATTATTTAATTTTTGAAATCTAGAAGATACAGGGTAAAATCTTCAGGATATCCAGTCCTAGACAAACAAATATTAGAAGTACAGCTTGAAAAAAAAAAAAAGCATTAGAAGAACCCAATGTCACCCTGTCAAACCCGCTTATTGTTGTACAATTCAGAATTGTGGGATCCATGATCCCAATTGAGCTTGGTGGTTTTCTTGAAAATGTTTCATTCCCAAAGACTCAGAGAGTACCAAGGACCACACAGTTGAACCATGAGCTACAAATATTTTCTTCTAATTAGGCATTGGTGAAAACAAGAAAGCACACAAATGCCCAAATCGAGCAAGATTCTTTTTTGTCAACCTCTTATATAAACAAACAAAGCACCGTTGTTGAAAAATGTATCAAGCCATAAGTAGCTATATCTTCTTACCGAAACCTCTGTGTTCTGAGCTTTCCACCCATAAAATTTGAAGATCCATGTAGCAGATTGAATGTCAGGCAGTTTTCTGGTAAGCTGAGGAACTCTTGAAATTTATTTCCCAATTGCCTCCTTCAGATTTGTCTCTCTATCCTTCTGCCTCTTTCTTCCTGAAGTATAGTTGTCTTCATGAAATCACTTAAGTCATCAATGTTTCTTAGACAATTGTTGAATATCTTTTTTTTTTTAATACCTCATCTTGGGGGAAAAAGCATCCTGGAGAATGGAAACAAAACAACATTTTTTCTATTAATATTATTAATAAAGCCATCACAGAAATATTGCAAGGGACGTGGTGGCTCAATGGCTAAGACTCTGAGCTTCCCGATCAGAAAGGTCGGCAGTTCGGCAGTTCGAATCCCTAGCACCGCGTAACGGAGTGAGCTCCCGTTACTTGTCCCAGCTTCTGCCAACCTAGCAGTTTGAAAGCACATAAAAAATGCAAGTAGAAAACTAGGGACCACTTTGGTGGGAAGGGAACAGTGTTTTGTGCACCTTCACTGTTTAGTCATGCTGGCCACATGACCACGGAGATGTCTTCAGACAGTATTGGCCCTTCGGCTTTGTAACAGAGATGAACAACTAGAAACGACTAGCACATATGTATGAGGGGACTCTTTACCTTTACCTAAAAATATTATTTTGGCTTGATTGCATTTTGTCCATGGAGGAGGATGGCAAATATTGTTCTTTATATGTTTTGAAAAGTACATAGGGTAATTAAAAGAGGAATTGCATATTTTCAGGATCCGCTTATGCCAAATAATATTTATAATATTTCATAATTTAGCTATCTTGGTTTCACTTTCTTGATATAAACTTATTTATGGAACTATATCTGTCCACAGACGATCTATTCAAGCTCTTTTCCCTCTTTCTAGAGGTATTTCTTTTGTTATTCTGAGATCAATATCACTGTATACAACCTCCCAACATCCATCTTATGACTTTCCTTCCTCAGAGTGAGTGTGATGAAAAATGTCTGTAATGTCTTGTGTGTTTTGACCGACCTGGAGCAACATGGAAGTGTGTCACTTCTAATATTTGCGGTAGTTTAATTCTGGAAGATAATTTTTCTATTTTTACAAAGATTTCCTCCCTTTTTGTGTGGGGGAGGGACACTTGAGGCTGGATGACTTTTGGCTGTTGACATAGTTAACCTCAGTGTCCTGAGAAACTCTGCTTCCAAATGTATTTGCAGATATTTACAAATGTTCCAGAAACTCAATGTACTCATTAGAGTTCAAAATAAACTTTGACCCTCATGCACAATAGATCTACTACATTATACATTCAAAGGGGAATCCACCCCCCTCCCCCCCCAAAAAAGGTAGTATCTGTTGAGTGAGTTTCTGGTGACTTCATAAACACGTCCATATATATTTTTATTGACAACAATAGAGACATATTTTTGTTATGGGATTTTCTGGAAATCTTCCCATCGAGGTACTAAGTAGACCCAAGACCACTCCCCTTCCAAAACCAGATGTGATTTGGATGTTTTTAAGATGGAGAAACTCTAAGTTGTACATATTTCAGTTTGAACTTAAGATAAGGGAAAAAAATACTATTCAAAATCATAGTCTATTCAAAATCAAATACTATTCAAAATCAAGGGTGTTGTACTAGTTCTCCTACTTTCTCCAGGATTGATTTCATTCAGTGGTGATTGTAAGGAAGAAGTCCTACTGTGTGAGGCGCCATGGGTTTGGTGTTGTCTCCATTCCTAGTCAACATCTACATGAGTCTGATTGAGTGATCTCATCCATCTCCATGTGGTCAGATATATATATCTCCACATCTGGAGAATTAAGTGATGACATCACTGTCTTATTCTGGTATATGTAGGCTACTACTAATTTAAGGTAAAGGCAGAGGTGGTTTTCAGCAGCTTCTGACCAGAGCTGGTCAGAAAATTTTGAGTAGTTTGGAGAACCAGCAAATATCACCTATGACTAGCCCCACCCCCATCTATTATCTGCTTCCCAAGTCCCAGCTGATCAGCTGATGGGTCTTCTTTGGTTGCCCTGCACAGGAGAACGGAGCTGGAAAGCAGGTTAGTGGGGTGAGAGATGGGATTTTGCAGTATTCTTCCCCTGGAGTGGGATGGGAATGGAGATTTTATAGTATCCTTTCCCTGTCATGTCCACCAAGCCATGCCACACCCACAAAGCCATGCCACACCCACCAAGCCATGCCACACCCACCAAGCCACACCCACAGAACCAATAGTAAAATGATTTGAATCCCACCACTGGGTAAAGGTATCTAATATGCAAAATCTTTTTACATCATCTTCTCTTAACAACCCGATAATCCCTTGTGGGATAGAGTCTGGACAACTGAATGGAGCAAGCAGCGTGTTTAATGGCCGGATACCTTTCCTATCACCAGTGCAGAGTTTTGTTCAGCAGATATTGTGCCCAGAGAGAAAAATATCTGCCTCTACCTCGGATCGAACTCACAATCTCCTGATTGTGAGGGAAGAGCTCCAACTCTAACCACTTAACACAAACCCTTTGTACAACCCAGCAAATCTGTTTTCAAACTTCCCAATGTTGCAGTTTAACTGAACTTCAATTTAACTGAAGTTCCTGCAATTAAAATAGGGATGGTAGCAACATTCTGTTACACCTCGGCATAAAGTCATGCTGGCCACATGACCATTGAAACATCTTTGGACAATGTTGACTCTTTTGGCTTGGAAACAGAGATGAACACCTCCTCCTACAGCTGAATATGATTGGACAGGGAAAACCACTACCTTTAAAAAAAAAATCATGCATATATTTAAAAATGACTCTGCAGTTTGAGACACATCACCAAAGATTCATTTAATGCTGTTATAATGCAAGGCCATTCAGAATGAAGGGAAAAATGTGCTTTTTAAAAATTAAATATCTTAAGAAGAACGGTCAATTCCTGAAAAATTTTTCCCATTTTTTAACTTCTTTGTATTTGCACCAGCCTATACTAAAAACATATTTTGATATCCTGTATTTTTGTCCAGCTATAAGATCCAGGTCTAACAGACATGGAAGCTGTGGAAATTACTTTCTACAAAATTTGGCTGCAGGAGAAATTCTGCACCAAATTTCTTGCTTACCAATTGTGCTGATTTATATTCAGATTTAAATCCTAGTAACCATAACAACCTTCACATTTTGAGCAGAACTTCATATTTCCTTGAAGTCACTTGATACCTTGCTGGATATCACTGTTATATAGATACAGATATAACTGTTTTTGCAAGAATTCCACAACTGTTTTTTTTTTTATTATTTTGCTTTGAAAAAGACATTTTAACATCCCTTTTCTTGTTGTTGACAATACACTTATTAAAGCACATATTAAAATCGCAAGCTATTGGCTCCAACATTCAATTTAATTTATTTACATGAAATACTGCAAACAGTTGTGAAAATGGCATTATTCAATCACAGAAATATGCTATCTTCGGGAGAGGGAAAATTGTTAGCACAAGCATTGTATCAAGAAAAAAATTAATGAACAGAAGAAGTGTATACTAAAAATCCTTCATCAAAATGTTTTTATTCTGCTTTATGATATTTTATATTCTTAAAAACATTCTATCAGTGATTTAGTAAAATAACCACTAATTGAAAGTTATAACTCTTTTTAAACCTATTTCAGAGAGAATCTTAAAGTCTATAATATTATTCCAGTTGTTGATAAATGGGTAAGATAAGAATTCAGCTGGATAAGCACAAATTTTAAATATGCCATTATCTAATGTGGCAAGATTTAACATCCATTGCATTAAATTTTATTATTGAAAAAAAGCCCTGTAATGTTGATATATTATTTTAATTAAATGTTTTTTCTCTAACATTGAACTGAATGTTACAATTTATTACACATTCAAAAATTATATTTAGGAGATGACCAGGCTGAGCCTGTGGGAGGAGTTAAGCAGGTCATAAGTCTTGAGTCCCTTTGCACTCATAAGAGTTTTTAAATCCACCTTAAATTCCGTTGACTCTAAATTTGCTTTGCCTATTAGTAGTTCAGATTCTTGTAGAGACTGTCAGCGTGTAATAAACATGTATTCACTACAACCTCCTTGAATCCTGATTTCCTGTGTTTGCAATTATTTTCTAGAATTACTGGAAGATTTTGAAAACCCAATTATATCCATCTCTAAGAGACATTTGAAACTTCTGAAGAACCAGAACCATGTTCTAATTTATTTTCCTATGTTCTGAAATGTTTTTAAGGTATGCATTTTATGGCACCCTGGATCTTGTTAGATAACTTCACTTTGCAAAAAAAATGTGAACAAGATGCTATAGTAAGTGGAAATACCACTTACTGTCAGTATTGATTTTTCATGACAACCTCTCTGTTCTTCTCAGATGCTTTGATGTTCAATTTTGTAAATTCCGAATCAGAAATTTGAGTGATTAAAGGCTAGGCATAAGATTAGGGAAGAGTTTTTTTAATGCGAAAGCAATAATCTTGGATATTAGTTTATAGCATATACAACTGCATCGTATGCTACTTGTTTAAAATATTTTGAAAATGTCAGAACAGGGTAATTTCTAGATGGTCCTTTTCACCAGTTCACATGATGTCAGTTGTAACGACAATGTCAATTACATTTCTCCTAATAACCCAGCATGAATCTGCAATTTGGCAGTTACAACAGGGAATACATAAGAAAAAGTATCATTAAAATAATTGTTAGGAAGATACGCTTAGTAGGACAGTAAGATGCAGGTTTTTTTTTTTTAAGTGAGCAAACCTTGCAAATGTTACATGAAAACACGCCTGCTTTCAGAATCTCCACAGTGATGTAGTATTCATGAAACTTCTCATAAAGACAATGATAGAGTCTACTGTATAGACAGGACTTTCATTTCATCTCCTACCTAAGTACAAGCAAAATTGTTTCAAATTCAGGCTCAAAACACCCCATTTTAGGCTTTGAGCTGTCTCTAGCTTGAAACCATCATTGTGATTTTCCTGGAAGTACTTCAGGCTTGTAACAGTTCTGCTTTGACTTCAAAACAAGATTGATTTTATGCTCAGATGCTCCCAGAATGATAAAGAAGCTCGTTTCAAGTTTAAACAAACTGTTTCCAACTCAAAAAGGAGAGCTTAAAGTTCAAAGCCTTTTGAAATCAAAAAATCTTTGCATACCGAAGGGTTCTTGATGCTCTCTGAGCTTGGTTGTTTTCTTGCATTACCCAACTTGGTAATATTATCAGTTCTAGAAGCGAGGGGGTTTATGGAGAGGAGGAGGAGGAGGACTATGGGGTCCCTGGTCCTCTCTGAGGTTGGTTGTATTCTTGCAGGTGTTTCATGACCCAACTACAGAACATTATCAATGCTAGAAGGGAGTGGGGTTTGAGGAGGAGGAGGAGGAGGAGGAGGAGGAGGAGGAGGAGGAGGAGGAGAATTGTGGGATCCTTGGCACACTCTGAACTTGACTGTTTTCTTGCAGATGTTTCATTACTCAATTTACACAAATGCCTGCAAGAAAAACAACCAAGCCCAGAGAGCACCAAGGACCCCTAACTTCAACCACAAACTTCATTGGTACTGTGCATACTCCTAATAATTAGCTTTGGGGATGCATTTCCAACTTTAAAAAAGTAAAAAAAATAATAAAATAAAAATAAACAGGATGAAATTTCAATGAAGGAAAAAATGCAGAAAGATATTTGGGGCTGAGAATAATTTCCAACATTGCCCCCATAATTATCATAGCAATAGAGATTGATGAATTAATCTATTAGTAATCCATAATGCTTTTCTTATTTTCATCTATAAGTCTCTTCAACCCTATGTACATATTCATCCACAATTGTGTAAAAATATAATTATATATATATTTTCTGCACTCATATTTATATCTATTTTCTCTCCAAATGTCTCTTTATTAATATATCTTGATTAGAGTGCTTTGTTTATGTGCATTGCTGAGAATAGCCAATCTCTTGAGATGATTCAAATGCTGACAGTTCATCTCAACATGCAAATATTATATTTCTTTGGCATCTCGTAATATGATGAATGTGTTGAAACTGGATTTGAATTAATTTGACAAAAAAATCGTATTATGAGGTGCTTTTCTGGGGACAGGGGCAAGTAATGAATCTTTGAAAAGGTGTATTGTGTTGGATAATATTTCTCTGGGATAGCCCCTTCTGATTTCAACCACCATTAGCAGAGTTAAATTTATCTGAATTTCTCGCTTTTTTTTTCTTTTTCACAAAAAGTATCTTGTTGACATTTCACTTCTGTGGGTTGAAGAGGGAGAGAAATTTGATGTAGCTTAGAGCTGGAAAACAAATACAGATAAAGAAATGGTTTTCTCTCCATACAAAGAGCCAGCATGTGATAGCTTAATAAAGCTAATAAAACAAAACACTGGCTATTTTTCATGTTGATAACCTTTGGAAACCAGAAAAAGAAAGACCTAAAACTGTTATTTCAACAGTATTTGCCTTGGTCTCCAGCTGTTGTGAAAGAAAGTAATCAGAAAGCTAGATTATTTAATGGCAGGCTATCAAAATGTATTTTAATGGGAAAAAAAACAAACAAACGGGAAATGCTAGAGAAACAGCTACATCACCTTTTCATTCCAGTTCATGGACCCTAAACTTTTTCTCTCCTAATGTTACGATTCTCAAAAAAAAAAAAAAAAATACAGTCAGTTTTAAATGTTTATGGGGATTTTCAGTCATCCTGGTCATGGTTGTCCCAAAGTTGCTTTTTCAAGAGGCAGCTGGACCTTCTTGGTTTTTCCCTGAAGACGTTTTGTTCTGAAGAAGATTCTTGGATGAGAAATGAGATGTCTTCAAGGAAAAACAAAGAAAGTTCCATTTGCCTCTTGGGGGAAAAAGAAACATATTTGGGACAGTCAGTTTTAAACATCAACAAATTGAACAGTTGCTGGAATTGGGTACATCCAGTTTAATGAAAAGAAGGAATAGGGGTAACATGATAGCAGTCTTCCAATATCTCAGGGGTTACCACAAAGAAGAAGGAGTCAAGCTATTCTCCAAAGCTCCAGAAGGCAGGACAATTCAGCCACTGGGGCTAAAACTTAGGAAGAAATAGTTTAATCAAAAGAAGGATTAGGGGTTACCTGACAGGAGTTTTTCAATACTTGAGAGGTTGCCACAAAGAAGAGGGGGCAACCTATTTTCCAAGTCACCTGAAGACAGGGTAAGACACCATGGATGGAAACTAAACAAGGAGAGAAGCAACCTAGAAATATGAAGAAACCTCCTGACATTGAGAGCAATTAACCAGTGGAACAACTTGCCTCCAGAGGTTGTGAATGCTTGAACACTGGAAATTTTTAAAAAGGGATTGGACAACCATTTGTCTGAAGTGGTATAGGATTTCCTGCCTGAGCAGGGGGTTGGACTAGAAGACCTCCAAGATCCCTTCTAAAACTGTTATTCTAGTATTCTGAAGACAGTTATCAGTGAGACAGTTAACCACCATGTCCCAATCAAAGACTTGATCTACACATTGGCCTTTTGCCAAAAGGAGATAGCAACCATCCTTTCAGCAAGAAATGGAAGACCTTTCTCTTTTACCACTTTGGATGTTGAGGGAAATACAAAGTTCCCATTCCTTCACATTTGTGGCCTCAGCCATTGTTGACTGATGCTGTTTAGTACAGCTTTCATGTTACCTCTCCATCTTTTTCTGGGTCTGCCTCAAGTTCTTTGACCTTGTTCTCTTTTTGTATTCTTCTCCTTCTTCTGCCATGTCCATCATTGGACGTTGGCGATCATGTTGGAGAGCCTATTTTTATCAACAGCCTCACGAAAAAGTGCTGCTGAGTTTGGTCCAAACCAGCCCCTTAGATTTGGAAGCCATGATGTTCTTCTGCCTGGAACTCATTTGCCTTCAATCTTTCCCTGGAGGATTAAGTGGAGTATATTTTTGTACATACCTTGTATAACATAGAATCTCACAACACATCTCTCCAGATGAAAAACTACTTTATCTGCTGTTTTTCTATGTAGTTTAGGATTGGTTAGTGATGCACTGGCTCTCTGGCTAAGATGCTGAGCTTGTTGATCAGAAAGGTTGGCAATTTGGCGGTTTGAATCTCTAGTGTTGTGTAACAGAGTGAGCTCCTGTTACTTGTTCCAGCTTCTGCCAATCTAGCAGTCCGAACGCATGTAAAACGGCAAGTAGTAAAATAGGGACCACTTTGGTAGTAAGGTAACAACAGTGTTCTGTGCAACTTTGGCATTTAGTCGTGTGGGCCACATGACCATGGAGATATCTTTGGAAAGCGCTGGCTCTTCAGCTTTGTAAGAGAGATGATCATCACCCCCTAGAGCTGGAAATAACTAGCACATATGTGTGGAAGGAACCTTTACTTTTTAGGAGTGGTTCTGTGCCACTTTTTTCTCTTTATGATCTCATTCCTGATTTTATTTCTTCTGGTCACTCCTGAAGACTACCTGAACTGGAATCCATTAATTATATTGTACATTCCTAAATTATAAATAGCATTTTTTGTTTGTGTGTCTCTAAGAAGAAGTTAAAGAAGAATTATCACTGTCCAGCTCTCCTTCGGACCCAAATGGATTTATTTATTTATTTAGCATATGGCAAATACATGGACTTATGGTGGTTCAAATGTTAATGTCCAGTCCATCCAGCCATTAAAGGACAGGTTGGTCTATATTGGAAAAAAAATCAGACATTGGGCCGGTGTACGTGTCAGGGTTCCAACGATTGCCCTAATTAAATCATGAGCCATTAGCCACGCACCAAGCTTCAGAAGAATCCAAAATATTTATTAGGAGCAACATGTCCAGCATTAACCCTTATGAAGACAACTCTGATACACCTAATTTACTATCCCTTATGACCTTGTTTCCCAGTGGTGGGATTCAATTTTTTTTACTACCAGTTCTGTGGGCCTGGCTTGGTGGACTTGGCAGGGGAAGGATACTGTAAAATCTCCAGTCAGAGGTGATATTTTCCGGTTCTCCAAACTACTCAAAATTTCCACTACTGGTTCTCCAGAACTGGTCAGAACCTGCTGAATAGCATCGCTGATGTGATGCTAGTTCATCTCCTCGTGGTGCATCCTGGATAGCATGGTAGTGTGAACCAAATGAACGGCAACAATCAGCAGCCAGACTACATTGAAGAATTGGCAGTGAATGGCAGTCAAACATCTTTGTAAAACTCCTGGCTCTCTCAATACATGGCAACAGATAAACCAAATGGAATTTTGAAGCCATGATTCATCGTGCTTTCCCATTCCTCTTTTCACAATGGTGCAGGCGAAACCCCAAGTTAAATTGTCAACAGGACTAAATTAGGGGTGACTTTATAAAGAAATAAGGACCTATAGCCATTTACTGCCATTATTATTCCTCTATGATCGCTGCATTGTTTATTTGCATTTTATGTGTCATTTTAGTCTCCTTTGCTGATTTTTTTTCCTCCCAGATCTAACCTTTGACTTATGCAGCTGTTAAATCCATTTGTAAGCTTCTCACAGGCTTCCAGGTTGCTAATGGTGGTAATGTTGGGGTCATATTGGGATTCAGGAATAATCACGATGACATCTGAAGAAGAAAGCAGTAACACATGGCTGGTTTGTTTTTTGTGTTTTTTTTTAAGTGCAACTTATGGCCAAATATCCAATTTCACAGACATCTAGTCCTATCTGCATCAATAAAGAAACAGCCATCCAGCAAAAACCAATCACAGCCTTTTATATCCAGATGAAAGTCTGTAAGTTAACATTTATTTTAATTGTTTGCGGATGTATTAAATTTATGGGCCAACCTTCTCACTTATCAAGCAAATCCTGCTGGCTTAGAACATGATAAAGATAACAATGCAAAACATTAAATATTAAATTAACAAACATGTAACCAAGATACCCTGTTTCTCCAACAATACGGCCTCCCCCAATAGGAAGTCCCAGCATGTTTTATAGGCATGAAATGAAATTAAGCCCCTCCCCCCCCAATTAAGGCCTATATTAAAACATGTGCAATGGGGGGGAATGGTGGGTGGGCTTGCTGTTAGGAAATACTTTTGTTGCACACACGGATATGGTGCTGCCTGCGTTGACCCCAATACGAAGTGCCCCACCAATGCGGAGGTCAACATCCAAGCCATCGCCACCTGCCCACCCAAAGATGCAAGGGGGGGAATTAAGTCACCCCTGAAAAGATGGCCTAGCCATTTTTTCAGGGCTCAGAAAAAAATAAGACCCGGCCTTATTATATGAGAAACATGGTAGGAACCGGTATACAATGGAGTGAGACACTTGTGAAGTTGTATTTTATCCCTTGGCCTCCAAGAATGCTTGTGGTATGTCGTTCCTACATATTGCTTCAACATACTCTTTAGATCATTCCACCCCCATCTTCAATTCCTATTTTAGACTGTATTATTTACACAATGAAGGCATCCCTTCTCTTCCCTCCTCTCTCCCTTGCTTCCTTTAGTGGTCTTTTTCACTCAGCTTACTTCACTTTTTCCCATTAAGGAAAGGGCTTCTGTGACTTTACCAATAGGGTTGGGCAGTGTTTGGATACAAAAGCGCAAAGGTGCTTAAAGCAGCTAGAAAAATTTGTCTACCACCTACCTCAGAACATCGCAAAGCAGCAACATGTCTTGTTGAAAATCTGCAGGGGCTTTCTGCAGTTTGAGCACAATCTCCAAAACCCCATTCTGCCACCTATATATGTCCTAAAGCCTCTTTAACCACGTAAAGGAAATTGTTCTACAGGCCTATTCATTGATCAAGAATGCTGCCTGTGTCACTGATTGTGATTGGAAGAGCACTTCAGCTTGTACTGAGACACAAATGCAGGCTTTGTGTAACATTTGAATTGCTTTTTTTGGAAAAGAACACTGAAATGATATGATCTTAAAAATGGCTACAGGCTAATATTGAAAAAACAGCTTGTTACTTTTCTTACTTTTCTATGTTCCCCGCTCATAAACTATCTAGAGGATTTTGAGGGAAGCCAAGATATATTTAATGAACTATTTATCAGAAGCTCGCACAAGTCTTTTTTTTTTCCCTGATCTTTGTTTTATTAAGGTTCTTAATTCACAGTAATCCAGCCAGATGTTTGTCAACACGAAGAAACGGGGACACCTAGAGCCACAATCTACCAACAAATCCTTAAGAGCCTTAAAATAAAGAATTATGGTCTTTGCATGTTAGCTGGGAAATTATTTTGTTGTGTGTAGAAAGGGCAAAGTTTTGGAAAGATTTGAAATTGATGCTTCTTTGATTTCCCAAGAAACTTTGAAAGGTCAAATCAAAGAGAAGAGGGTCTATTAATTCTTCTTAGACTGTGCCTCTGATGCAAGAATCGCACAGCTTGGCTATTTGCTTAAGCTACGTCAATAAAATGTGATGGGTATTCAACAGGATTTGCAAATATTGTGGTTAATTATCCTTCCCCAAAATAAAACAGTCAATGCTATATCTCAATGTTTCTGTCTTCGGTTTCTATGTTTTTAAAAATAATAGCAGAGCCGTACGTAAAGCTGATGGCCTTCTCTATCTCTCTATAATTACCCTTTCCCAAATTCAAGATCTGGTGGAATGCTCGTATTCTAGACTGAGGATCGTTTTTCAGATTGAACATACTGAAACTTGCAATATAAAATAATGTGCTTCTGCATCTGGGATTCCCCCTGAGTAGACAGGAAACAAAGGATATTAATCTATTATAAGTGCCTTGCAGATAATCTGTAATGCCTAAGTATGTTTATTGCAAGCCTCCTTCCTCCTCTAAAGGTTGTGGGGTGGCATAATGGCTTAGTCATTAAAGGTGATGAATTTCAACATTCAGCTTGAGTATCCAAATAAAAGTCCCGGATCATTTCATTTCTGAAAAGTTTATTGTTTATTGAATATATTGCATGTTAATGGCAAGGTAAAACTAACTCTGAAATTCTCAGGCATCAGGTCACAGTATGAAACAATGATTTTCCCAGCCAAATCTCCGGGCTTTCACGTAGACCATATAAACAAGTTCTCTTTGTTAT